GTGGTTTAGGAGTCTAATCAAAGCTTTTCCCTAGTATGATATGGTTCTAGCACTAGCATACATATCATTTTCTAAACAATACATATCTAAGTCCGCAATTTATTCTTATGTACCAAACATCTTCAAGTTTTTGTTTATATTTCAAAACTGAGAATATAATTTTTGTTGTTTCAATCGATTATATTCTACCAGTTTTAAATTTAAGGATTCGATCATAAAAGAAAGAGTAACAAAAATTAGATATTTTAGTTTTGTCTTGAAAATTTGCAAAAAAACTTATTTCAGTAGTGGAATAAAATTTAGAAAATCATATTGAATTGTACAATTGGTGTATTAGCAATATATAATTAGAAATATAATCCATTCAACAAAACTTGTACGTCCTACTATTATCTTCATTTTTTTATGTTTTGAGTCATATCAGATTTTTTTTATTCCTTTGTTTTGAATTAATAATTTAAAGTTAAGTTATTCATTTTCAAATAGATTTACTTTGGTTTTTCTTATAAAGGTAAACATGTATATATTTCTGATAATATAAATGGTACAACAATTAAATAATCAATTTATGTTCAAAATCAATTAAGCCGATTTAGAAATTGTGACACAATGAGCCCACAAGTCGTCACTCTTCTTCAAATATTGTGATTCACGGGCAATTAAGGCTGGTCTATCAGCAATATATTTAATGAGAGTGTCGTGGCACACTTTTCCTTCTTAAACAAGATCGTGGCAGCAAGAATCCGTGATGGTTGCATTTCCAAAAACAACGGCGATTATATCCAAGGCACACTTAGGGGAGATTTTAACAAGACAAGTATCCCATGACGATTTTGCTTCGTTGTCATCGACTGAATATACTGGAACAAAGGCACAAACCAGAGCTACAACAATGAATATCATACTGATCTGGGAGTTAAATTTAGCCATATCAGATTACACGAGAAATTTACACACTAATTTTCTTGTATGAAAGTATGTGATCAAGTATGTTTTGTATTTGATATTTTAGACACAAACCTGAATAAGCTATTTATAGGTAAATTCAAAACCCAAAGTTACTATATCTCGTAGCGTATAAGAAAATAACTTAATTAATGAGAAGGAGTTTCATTTCTTCATAAATAA